TCTAGGTCCCCTTCGATATTTCCTTGGAATTGAAGTGGCCCGCTCTCAAAAGGGGATCTTCATTTCTCAGAGGACATACATCCTAGATCTGTTACAGGATACAGAAAAACTAGGGGTTAAGCCAACCAACTCTCCCACTGATCCAAATCACAAACTGGGTGACTGTTGTGGTGAAGTTGTCAAAGATGTAAAACAATTCCAGAGACTTGTGGGAAGGCTCCTGTATTTATCCATGACTAGGCCAAACATTGCTTGTGCAGTAGGTGTTCTTAGTAAGTTCATGCATGCTCCTAAGACCACACACTTAGAGGCAGCAGAAAGAATACTCAGATACCTAACGAGGTTTCCTGGAGTTGGTTTGTTATACCAAAAGAATGGTCATTTGAAGATTAAGGTATATAAAGATGTTGATTGGACTGGATCAGTTGATGATAGAAAGTCTACTAGTGGGTATTGTTCCTTTGTGGGAGGAAACCTAGTCACATGGAGAAGCAAGAAACAAAATGTGGTGGCTAGGTCTAGTGCTGAAGCTGAATATAGAGCAATGTCCCATGGGGTGGCTGAAGGCATGTGGATAAAGAATCCGTTGACCGAACTAGGTTTTCCTGTTGATGGCCCTATGTCCTTGTATTGTGATAACAAGGCTGCCATCAATATTGCAACCAACCCAGTTCTTCATGATAAAACTAAGCATATAGAGGTTGACAAACACTTCATTAGAGAGAAAATTGTTAATGGAGAAGTGTGCACCACATATGTGAGTTCCAAAGAGCAACTGACAGATATATTTACAAAAGGCTTACATCACTTGCGGCACCCAGAAGGCCCTGGGTTCCTTATACAAGTACCATCAAAATTCAGTTTTATGAACCCAGAAGGAGGAGGGGACCACGAAGGACTACAGGTCCTCTTACAGAGGGCAAAGGAGGCTATCTCCTTCCAATTTCTCACCACATTAGCCACAGAATAATCTGAGAACAATTCCATAGTTTTCAAACCATATCATAAGCCTTCTCCAAATCCAATTTACAAATCAAACCCTTCCCTCCTAATCTCTTAACCTCATCTACACACTCATTGGCAATTAAAATCTAATCAATAATTTGTCTCTCCTTAACAAAGGCCCCTGAGATGAAGAGATCAAGGAAGGTAAAAACAACCCTTATTCTCCAAGAAAGCACCTTAGCAATGATTTTGTACAAACTATTAATCGAGTTGATTGGTCTATAGTCCTTTGGGTGAACAACATCAGGTTTTTTAAAAATCAAGGCAATAAAAGTGGAATTCAGCCCCAGATTGATTACACCTCTCCCAAAACGTTCATTAAAGACTTTCTATAAATCATTTTTTAATATCTCCCAATAATCTTGGTAGAAAGCCATCGTAAAACCATCCAGACCAGGGGCTTTGGATCTATCCATAGAAAACATAGCCTCTTTTATCTCCTCAATCGCAAAATTCTTTTCCAACCAATCCTTAGAAACTTCAGCTAGTTTGAGCCAATCTAAACCATCAATCCATACTCTTCCATCTAGGGGTCTCCTAAAAATGGACTTAAAAATGATCCACAAAGGCTTGGGCAATCTCATCATGATTAATCAGGGTAACACCTCCACCACCAACTTGGAGGCAAATTTTTTCTCCTCCTTCCATTAGCTAGAGCATGGAAAATTTTGGTATTTCTATCTCCCTCCTTAAGCCAATTATTCCTTGATTTTTGTATCCATCCTATTTCTTCTTTCAACAAAAGATCCCCCAGTTGTTTCCTTAAAGACCACCTTTCTTCTTTGTCTCTTTCCTTAAACAACCTTGAATTTTCTTTTGCATCTAGATCCTCAATCCTTCTAATTAGATCTTGCTTCCTCTCCTCAAGTCTCCCAAACTGATGGATATTCCACTCCTTAATTTTGGATTTGAGCTACTTCAGCTCCCAATGAAATTTCATACCTTCCCATTCGGCTCTTGGATTGATTTCTCTCCCTCCATTCCTTTACCTTTTCAATAAATCCACTTGCACAATGCCACATTCTCAAACCCAAATGGTCGATGTGTTGAGTAAAGACCTTGTTGTTTCATCAAGATGCACAAAACATAGGTAAAGACCAATAAAGCCTTCAGCCAACTGCTGGAAAAAACCGAGACTTTATTGTCAAAAAAAGCACCAAGGAGTTGTTAAAATTGTTTCAAGCACTCAGTAACACTAAAAAGATTATCACTAAGCAAAAACAATAAGCATGAGAAGCAAGATCGAAGATATTGACCAATAATTCAATGAACAAAATAGCTGATCAATGTCAGTTGCCAAAATAATTTACTTTAACTTAGACAAACTAATGCTTATACAAAAGTAATTAGTATATCTTAAATCATTAATAATTTCCAAATTCACTAATGGTCCAAACTAGTTTTAGGGAAGTCATAATAGGTCAAATATGCAAGCCAGTCCCACTCTATAATAGGAAAAAAAAAGTGAATGCTTGTGAAGTTGCAAACATATGAAAATGGCATAACATCCACCAGGAACATGGGGCAATTTTCATATCAAATTAGAATTTAGGACTCTATTTGTTAGAAAAAACATGCTCTAGAAACATAGAAATTTTCATGTACATACAAAGATTTTAATAACATATAAATAATTACATTTTTTATTGATAATAAAATATATTCAATCATCATCATCTACGCCTTGCCCCAACCATATTAGGCCAGATACATGAAACCTGTTTCGCCATTTTGTTCATGGATGCCTAGAGAATGGTTGGGATGCTGGTGTATCCCGACAGGCTAGTTTGACTACTCCTTGGAAAGCAATTCACAGTATCCTTCCCCAAATTCTTAACTTTGTCAGGTATGATACTTGTTTTGGGAAGATGTTTGTATGGGTTCTTCAGCCCTCAAAGACCACTTCCCATCAATCTATTCCATTTCCTTGTTTAAGCATAGAGGTTGTTTCCCATTTTCTCCCTCCCCTATTCCCCGTTGCCCTTGAATTGGAATTTTGGTTTCCATAGGGGTTTATGGGATGCTGAACTTGGTATTGTTACAGAACTTCTTTGTGTCCTAGATAGTGTCTGCTTAGATCCCCTAAAATCAAACAAGAGAATTTGGTCTCCAGGTTTCTTTACTTGTGCCTCCTTTAAGGCCCTTTGTACTCCCACTACTCAATTTGTTTTTCTAGTTAAGGAGTTTTGGACTATGCCTGTTCCCCCTAAAATCACTTTGTTCTGTTGGGAAGTGTTTCTTGGGTAGATCAATACTTGGGATTATTTGCAAAAGAAAAAACATTTTTTTACGCTTGTCCCCTAATTGGTGTATCCTTTGCAAAGCAAATGGTGAGGATTGCTTCAACTTACTAATTTCCTACACCTTTGCTACAGCTATTTGGTTTCGGTTTTTGCCTTGTTTGGATGTAGGTGGAACCAACCTACGAATATAAGTCAACTCTTTGACTCATCGGCTTTTGTGTGGCCCAACAAAAGAGGATGAATTATGTGGAAATGTACTAGAGCTACAACAGTTTGGACAATTTGGAAAGTAAGGAACACAAGGATTTTCCAAGAAAAGGAACAAAGTCTTGTATTGATCAAGGAGTTAACAAGGGCAATTCACTGGCTGAAAACTCTAGAGAAACTGGTTAGCAGTGGCAAATAGCTCCTCCAGGAAGGAAAAAGTCACTGCTCCTTGGACCCCATCACCTGGCGGTTGGGTAAAGTTGAATTTTGATGGAAGCAGTCAAGGTAACCCTATCGTTTGAGATAAGGACAGCAACATCTTAGCTTTAAACTCTGGTCCAATGGGAGTAGGAGATTCAGTCAGGGCTGAACTATTGGCGGCTTTACAGGGTATTAAGATAGCAAACCAATTAGGAGCTGAGCATCTTCTAATCGATGGAGATTCTAAGATTGTTGCAGACTAGTTAACAAGTAGGGATCAGCCATTTGGTGCTACAAGGATTTCATGAAAAAGGCAAGCTGGTTAACAAATAACATGTCTATTAGCTCGCATTGGGTGAGCAGGTCAGCAAATGCTTTGGCTGATCATCTTGCTAAACAAGGGGTATTGGGGGAACATCTGTACTGGGCAACTTTGTAATGGTTTTGATGTAGATGTTACACCATAATCTCAACGGAGGTTGCACCTCGTGCCTCTCCTTGGGGTGCTTATAACATTTCTGATATATCATTAATAAATCTTTTTTCAATTATCAAAACAAATTGCTAAACCATGATCCCTTAAATCATCTCTTACTACTTCAACACATGTCCTTTTTGATATTCCCCTAACCCCTACAACTTGCAACAGATTGCTTCCTCTTATGGGTGCTGTAGATGGTCTTCTATGCATGTAAACAAAGCATCTCAGTCTACTTTCTCTCATTTTATCACCTATTGGAGCTACTCCTGGGTTCCTTCAAATGACTTCATTTCCGACCCTATCTTTTCTAGTTTTTCCACTCATCCATCTCAGCATACACATTTCTGTCACACCCATTTTTGGGACATGTTATTTCTTGACTATCCAACATTTGCTCCATACAACACCGATGACCTCACAACTGTTTTATAGAATTTTCCTTTATAACCTAAGTGGTATTCACCTATCACATAAGTCTGGATGTACCCCACCTTTTGCTTGTCCTGCTCTAATTCTATATGTGACATCTTCCTCAATCTCTCCCTTGTTATGAATTATCAAATCAAGGTAACAGAAGAGGTCACAGAGTTATCTCTTGTTCTCCAATCTTAACTGTGCCCTGATTTGCACTGATATTATTATTAAATTTACATAGCATATGTTCTGTTATAGTCTTACTTATTTTAAAAGCTCTGGTTTCTAAGAAATTTGCCCTAAACTTAATTTTGCATTTAATCCTTCATTAGTTAAATCAATCAAATGTCATCATCTAATATAACAAGCAACATAAATGAAAACTTTTGGGTATGATCAACTAAAAGCATCCCATAATCAATATAGAGTAGATATGTCAAAATGTATACCATCCAAAAGTTCATAGATCAGAACAAAGTTATTGCGAATTGCATCTTCATCAAAAGCTCCCCCAAAATAAGATTTGAACAATGCAACAGCCTGCAAATAGAGAGAAAGAAAGGGTTTTAGCATCAGAAATTACGGAATATAAATGATTTTACTACTAGGAAAGTGGATTTAAAAATTAGCTGTTAACCGTGGCCTTTGTAATTGATCTCATAGCTATAGCAGTTGTTAGCCAATGCAATACAAAAGATTATGAGGATGACAAAAGCCACAGCGCATTAACTCATAGTCATATGCATTCATATTAACAGATAGACAGTGGCACATTCTCAACCCAGCACAACTTCAACATTCTGGTACCATTCCATACACATCTTGTCAGCCATGACATGGATGAGTACAACCAAAACCCCAAACCAAGAACAGCAAAGAAATTATCTCACATGATTGATTAGAAAAAAAGAACTTATCTAACATGATGTTGGCCTGAACTCTAGAGAAAGTATCTCAAGAGCATCTTAAATTACCTATGGATTAAATCAATGTTTTTTTATCAATAATAGAATTTCATTTAATAAATAATAAGAGGTTTACAGAAGACAGGTCAGAGAAGAGGTAACCTTTCTTAACTCTCCTCACCAAAAAGACAAAATACAGATTACAATTGTGCCCAAAACATTTGATTCTTCCCCACCCCTTTGTTTTTCTAGAACATCAGCAAAAGCATTTGCAGTTCTTTTAACCCAACAAACCTTCACCTCCGTATCTTGAGTTAGCCACTTGAACTTCTTCTTGTCACTACTGAATATCCAGAAACCACTCTCCTTTTGCATCCAATCCACTACCAGCTTCGAATCACCTTCTATAATCAGCTTTTTCACATTCATATCCTTTGCCTTTTGCACTCCCTGCATCACAGCCAGAATCTCAGCTCTTAATGAGTCTCCTACACCAATTGGTCCTGAAAATAGTCCAGTAACTTTGCTTTCCTTATTTCCAAACACCCCACCCAATACTGGAAGGGCCTGGGTTCCCTGCACTACTTCCATCAAAATTTAATTTAATGAAATCATTAACTGGTGGAGACCATAAAGGTCTCATACCAACCATATGTGATTCGACAAATAGCTCCAGAGCTTTCACCCAATGAACCACCCTAATCAGAATGGTCTCAATGATTGCCTCTTTGCTTCTTTCCTTATCTGAAAATATTCTGGAGTTTCATTTTTCCCACATAGTCCAATACACCGCAGCCCTTGTACATCTCCACAACACCCTTCCTCTTTTCTTAGGCCACCTAAAGAAAGTAGGAGTAAACAGGCTTTGCACGTTATGTTGTGGAAATCCACCTACACCCAAACAATGAGAAAAACCATCCCCAAACAGTTTTAACAAATGGGCAGGAGATCACTAAGTGAAAGCAAGTTTTTTTTTTTTTGATGAGTAGGTGAAAGCAAGTTTCTCCAATTAGCCTTACAGAGAGTGCACCAATTTGGAGATAAGCACCACTTAGGTCTTTTTAATTGGAGTATATTGCAAGTATTAACTCTTTCCTGGAAGACCAACAAAAGCCTCCAATCCTTGAAGGAATAGGTTTACACCAAACCTCCTTAATAGGAAAAGGGCCTCCATGGTTTAGGAAATTGACTAATCCTATCCTTACTGTTTACATATTGTCTTACAGTACACCAAGTAAATCTGGTACTCTATCCTCTTTACTGCAATGGACACCTGATGCTGAGGTAACTTCTGTTTTATGCTTGGCGGTAACAGTTATTGCTCAAATGGTTCAATTGCCAAAAATGTTCAGCCCTGTGGGTAAATTGGTAAGTTCGTCTCTACCAAGATAAATCTGGTACCATGGACGGAAGATTTTCACCGATTAGGAATTGGTGGAGATTTCTCAAGGTGGAAATGAAGGAATTTCTGATGGAGGAGCTGTTTCAGAATAAAGAGCCCGTAGTTAGAATTCGAGAAGGCAACAAAGGTACAGTTAAATTAGTAAGGGAGGCGGCATTTTGGTTCCAAAGCTTTCTGAATGGTGCGGTGAATGTAAGTTGGAGATGGGACTGGAAAGACACGTTCAGATATAGGAACAAAGAATACTAAGCAGTAAGGAGGAGGAATGCAAAAGGTTGGTTAGTGTCGCTTGAAGAAAGATTCAAGAATGGAAAAAAGCAAATGATCATTATACCAGAAGGTAAGGATCTGGAAAGTTGGACAAGAATTGCTAATGAACTTCATGCCGTGGTTAGAGTAAGAAGAGAACAACTTAGCAAAAGGAAAGAAAACAGTGGAAGATTTCAGAAAGGACCTGAAGGAAATAAGAAAGAATTTTGAGAACTTACAACTCGAAGACAAGTCCAAATGCAGGGTTTCTGCGATGATTGTGGTGTCTAAAGAGGAACCGAAATTCAGGTCAAATGGAGAGGAGAGAGAACGGGAGCAAAGGCTTGTGGTTATTGCAAAAAATAAAGTTTTGGACTGGACAAGAATCTTAGAAGACGTAACAGAGAAGTTGGGAGTCAAGAGTGCAACAGCCCTCATACCGTTTAATGAGATGAAGGCCATTTTGGATGCAGGGAAGAGGATGGTGGGTTGTGAGATCATCGAGACGTAAGATGGAAAGGTGACAATTGAAAAATGGTTCCCGTCATGCAACTCTCTGGAGATATCTGATGGTTGCTTCCACCTGAATCTGGTGGGCTGCCTTTCAATCTCTGGACGAGATCCATTATTGAGCAGATTGCAACGGCAATGGGAGGTACTCTGCTTGCGTTAAACAGTAGTGATCTGAGACCTTTACGCATGAGGGTTGCTGGAGTCAAGACAGAGGCGATTCCGAGGTTTTTCATGCTGCATGTCAGAGGCCTCTGGAGCAGGGTGTGGATGGCTTCGGAAGTGGAATCGTTGCTCTGGTTTGGGAAGACAAAGGTTGAAGATGATAACGTGGTTGGTGGGGTTACAAGTGCCGAGGCATGTGCATCTGAATACGCACGGGTGGGTGTAGACGTGGGGGCTAGGAAGGAAGCTGGGAAGACATTGGTGGAGATGCTTTGAATTCCATAGTCGAATGCACGAGGAGAAATGGATGATATTTATGAAAATGGAGGCTCGCATGGGGAAGTAGAATTGGCAGGGGCTGAGTCGGCGAGTGAGTGGGGTCCACCTTTTAAAGAGAAAAGGTCTGAAATTAGTTTAAGTGAACCAGCTGGTCTGCCAGCGGTTCAAGAGCTCAGACCAAAAGGGGCTATTAAATCATGTGAAAGCTCTATTAGTCACATGTTGCTTGGGCCTTTGATAAGCCCGAGTAACTGGGCCAACTCAAACACTGTTTCCATACGTATCATGCCATCCTCAGACGGGATAGAAGGCAGAGGAGAGGTAGCAGGAGATCTCAGAGGAGGGGGAGAGGAAGCTAAGAACGAGGAGAGATACCAAGGTAGGATCGCCGGTGGATCAAAGTTTACGGGTGAAAGAGTGTATTTACAAGGACCTGAGGGTAACGGTAAGCTGGATGATGCATTCCTTCCATCAACTTTAGCAGATAAGGAGTATGGCCTGGAAATTTCGCCTCGAGCAAAAGGAAAGTTGTCTAATACTCAAATGTCAACAACAACTTGCAAAATGACAAGAAGGGTTTTTGATCCAGGAATAGAAAAGAAGACATCAAAAAGTTTCTGAGGACTAAAAAACCAAATCTAAAAAGAAAAGGAACGGTAAGGAGGAACAATTCGACTGATATTAGAAAAGGAGAGGAAGAGAGTAGGGTATGGGTGATTGCTAGGTTTGACAAACATGGCAAGAAGAGTCTCATTGGTGTTACAGAAGAGACTCACAACAATAGTACATCTTCTACTGTGACTGGCAATGCTGGTTGTATTTATCAAGTGAGTAGGGGATCCGATGGGATTGATGTTCACTCAGAGCCGGGGATATGAACTTGAATACTGCTGAGGATAGATGTGATTTGGGTCTTCCAACCTCAATGAGTTCGAAAGATCTAGACTCTGCTGAATTTGAGAAGCTGGAAGAGAGGGAGATGGCAATTCCGGAAAGGGAGGTTAACGTTGGTGCTGAGCCAGAAGACGAAGACAATAATGGAGGTTAAGTCAGAGGAAAGAATGGCATAGGTGATGGTGAGTCCTCTGATGGACAGGCTGAAAATCAGGTCGAAGATGGCTTGATTTTTGAGGAGGTTGAGATTGGAAGACTAGGTGTTGATTTGGGTCAAGGGAGCAAAACAGAAGAGAAGGAGGAGCAGTCTAGTGGGTTTAACAGCAAGAAATTACGAGATGTGAGAATTCACAACATAGTGCATGTGACAAAGATCTTTTCAAGACTTAAACTCAACATGGCAGGGACAGGACCTACAAAAAAATATAAATGGGTGTAGAGAAGGAAAAGGTGAGAGGTAACGGGACAAGTGGTAATGAGTACATGGAGATAACAGTGCTAGCTAAGCCACTGGACTCCCTTTCATGTAAGGAACAACAGGAAAACAAGGTGAATGATATCGACCCTGAATCTGGTTCAATACAGTTGAGGCAGGAAAATGATGTTGTTGACGAAGTTTCAGGTAAGGTAGACATACAAAAATTGGTGGATAGAGAGGTCACGGTTGGGAAAAGCTTGGGTCTGATGTTCTGGGGTGGTGAGGAATTTGCTAGGAGGGCCTTCGAAGAATTTGAAAGAAAAAAAAAAAAACGAGGAAGAGAAAATGAAGAACAAAGCTCAGCTGGAAAGGAACAAGGAATGGGGTGAGGAATTCTCAAATCAAGAGGATGAGTTCACAAACGAAGACTGATGTGGGCATCTGGAAGGGTTCTTGTGCTTGATTTGATTGGGGGGCGGCTTCTAGATTTTTTTTTTTTTTTTTTTTGGGGGCGGAGGGCGGCGGGTCTTTGTATTGGGTCTATCTCATGATTTTTATCAGAGTTGTTTGGGTAATCTTGTGTTCAAGGTGTGGTTTTGTAGGATCTTTTTTGGGTTTTCTGCTGGTGCTCCTTGCTTACTTATCACCTCCTGCCGTACTTTATATTTTCTTAATGAAGTTTTATTTGATTCTTCAAAAAAACGGCAACCCAAACTATTAGAAGGTTGGTTTAAAGCCTTGAAGAACAAGGCACAAGAGAAGACACCAGAGGATGATAGAATCTAGATACAACTATCAGAGCAAGAAGGACCCACAAAAACCCCCTTCAAGGACCAGAAGCAATTCCAAGACAATTAAATCAATGTTTTAAGACTCAGACCGGACTGGATAGTCAGATAGTTAAACCTGGGAACCGGAAAGGAATCTAGTTTTTTAACCCCCGGTTTTCATATTTTTGAAAAACCAGAAGAACCGGTCAAAGTATTGGTCCTTTTTTTACTTTTTTTATTTTTTTTTTCAAAACCAGTTCAGGGGGGCCGGTTTAAGGCTCCTCCACCCCCTGAACCGGTCCGAACCCCGATACACCCTCTGTAGGGGGTGCTCCCGATACGATATGTATCGGCCAGTACGGGCCGATACATGTCAATACTTTGAACCTTGGGTGGAACTGTTGAAAACCGCCAGGTTTCAACGACCCACGTGGGTCACTAAATGCGCATTTTTTAAACGCAAATGAAAATACTTGAACCTAAGACCTCATAATTGTATATGTTAACAAATCATCAAGCCATCATTCATTGAAGACTTTCCGGTTTTGTGTCCAGTCTGAGTCTTAAAACACTGGATTAAATAGCATTCTTAAAATTTTCCATTGTGTCTTGATTAGAGGGATGAGATCATTTGGAAGGAAGAGCCTAAATATCTTTACAGTACAATCTTCTATGTTGGACCAGGATGAGCAGCTTTACAACTTGTAGACATGGATAAAGATAAGATAGACATGAAGCTTTCATGTGGCTAACAAAGATGCCCAGACATGGATGCAGATAAGACAGACATGAAGCTTTCATCTGGCTAACAAAGATACCCAGACATGGATGCAGATGTAGACAGATATGGGAAACAGGGATATCATTCCATTTCTCAAGAATCAAAATCCAACACCTGCATACAGGTTTTGGCATCATATTAAATATGATGATACATTGCTTTTATATTGAGTTTTTAAACTAAGTATCATTTTTTAGAGGCAACTTCCAAATTTATTGAATGCGTAACAAAATAATGTTACATTATGGTTGTGCTGCACCCTGACTGATTCAAACCTGGCTAAATGTGTTTGTGTAATAACAGTAAAAGTGCATTACTTTATTAATTATAATATGAAAAAATTCATCCCCAACCAGGGACAAGGAAAGTAAAAGAAACAGCCTACTGCTGATCCCCATTATATACTTAAACTCATCTTTGTTACAAGTCCATACCAAGCCTGGAGCCCCCAAACCAAATCTGGTTTTGTAACTGCTTCCCTAGCTAGATAATCAGCTAGGCTATTAGCAGAACTAGGATTCCAATTAAGCGGTTCATATTAGCTGCCAATGCCTTTGCTTCTCGAATCAGATGTCAGTGTCCAAGGTCCAAATTCTGTTGACCTGAACCAGGAAATTACAACATAACAGCCTCCTTCCTACTCTAGAAATGTCCATGCAATATCTACATTTGTGTCAGGTGCATGTATGCTTATCATGTATGGGCATCAGATTATCATAGGTGGCCAGTATCCCAGATAAAACCCTCAGTGAATATGGACATGGATTACTAATTCCTTAACTGCCCCATTACTCCTAAATTATAATCATTCTTCAGTTTTTCATTTGGCATGAATTGGTTTGCCACCCTTCCTAAATGTGTTCTGTTCACTTCCAACCTGTTTGTCCTATTGGCTCTCAGGAGGCAAAACTATAGGTCATTGTTCCTTTTGTGATCTGTTGGTGGTTGGTTTGGAAAGAGAAACTTAGGCTCCGTTTGGTTTGTGGGATGGGGATGAGAAAAAGGGAATATTCCTTTTTCTCTTATTTGTTTTTGAAGGAAACAGAGGGATGGGATGAGAAAAAAGTGGGATGCGGGATCGCACCAAAGCCATGCGACCCCGGTGGGAAAACTCGAGAAAACTCAAGAGCGGCAACGGTCCCTTCCCTCTCTCTCTCTCTCTCTCTCTCTTCCCCTTCATTTTCGTTTTTGCTCCCTTGTTACCATCGAACCAGACACTGTTCATTGCCTTCCCCATTCGAACAGAGGAGGCGGTGGTGGCAAGAGAACCAGTCCAAGGGGCAGAGGAACGGCGAAATTCCGTAAAACACAATCTCCCTCTCTTCGAACAGGGGTGGCAGAGGAACGGCGATCTCCTCTCCCAATCTATTCTCCGTCTCTCTGTCTCTCCCTCCATCTTCCTCTTCTCTCTTCTCCCTCACCTTCTTCTTCTTCCTATTCTTCCCGTCTTCCTCCCCTTTTAATTTCTTTCTTTCTCTGATCACCGCTGCAACTCTCAGCAGCAGCAATCTGCTTTCTCAGCACTCCTATCCCGATCTGCTTTCTCAGCACTCCTATCCCGATCTGCTTCCTCAGCACTCCTATCCCGATCTGCTTTCTCAGCAGAGGTGATCAGGCGAAGAACCAGGTCGTGGTGGTACTTTTCCTACTATTTTCCCATATATAAAACCAAACAATGGAAAGTTAAATTTTTACACCTTCTCATCCCATCTTTTCCCATCCCACCCAAATCTTCCCACAAACCAAACGGAGCCTTAGGGTTTTTGAAAATATGGAAAGGCTTTCTTCTCTCACATTTATACAAATACCAGTAGTTTCTTAATAGATTGAGCTTTGGTACTGAAAGTGTTAACAAAAAAGAAGGGGTTTTGTTTTTTCGTTGGCTGGCCACTTGGGGACATAGAGTAACAAACTATAAAGCTTGTTGGGGTGATTGCCTGGCCCCTTTTTGTATAGATATAATATATTCTCACACATTTAAAAAATAGATTACTCATCAAGACAAAAAAAAATATGACTTAATGCGTCTCCAATATGCATCTTGAAATGGAATTTCTGATATGGATGGCTACAATAGTATTTGGCCTTACTCTAGATTTCCAATTCATATGCTTTAGGACTGCAAAATGCTCCCAAATTTTCATGGAAACTACAGGTGTCATTATAGAAATCACAAATGTAAGAATAGAATATGAACAATTACCTCAACAACAAACTTGAATGCACAAGCCACATTGGCATTGCTGCTGACAACAATGACAATATATACATTGCTGATTCTCATGTAAAAGAAAGAGCAACCTCCAATTTGTCTAACAGGACAAGTACCAAGTTCTTTTGTTTGCATTATATGCATACGAAATGCATCCACCATGTTTCCACTGAAAGAAGCACTAAAGTTAGTAAAACATGTTTATGCAACTCCAGAAAAAGATAAAATGCACATAGAAATTCTAAATACAAAATGCAGCCACCAACAGAATCTAGGATATAAGATTGCAGATGGATAAATAAAACAAAAGGTATTAAAAGTTGCATGTATGACAGAAATAAAACCAAATTTTTAACAGAAATAAATATGATAATCAAAGACATAACAACTTGACATATTGTAACACAACATCCGTAAGAAAAGTAGATGCTTTATCTTCAAGCAAGACAAGTCCAATTACCCCTATTCTTTCAACTTATACAAACATCACCATGCAACAGGCAAGATTCTATTTCAACTAAACAAAACCACCAAGTTTAAAGAAGTAAAATATTTCAAAAATCATATCAGTTCAATTGGCTAGAGAATCATCTTATTAACACAAAAGTTTGTAGCCTTGTACATTCAAGTCCTACATTGGTTAATCTATTAAAACTCTGAAAATTGCAACTACAACCAGCAATATGGTAAATCACATGTACAAACTTCAGAGTCAAGGTTAAATCATCAAAACGTAACAAGCCTGGTGAGGCAAACCTGGTTTCAGGTGAGGTACATGCCACAAAAATGAGTCTTACCCATGAATCTAGGCATACCTCCCCTGAGGAGCACCTTTTAAAACACTGACCAAAGATGGAAACCCATCAAAAGATACCATATAATATATCGGGTTTACTATTTATCAATATATCAATGATCATAACAAAATCATAGATGTTGCCATGTCACTTGCCTATAATTTAAGATGTCTAGTACTCTCCCCCTGGAGTTGATAAGTTTAACACCATTTTGAATCACAACAGAATTCTTTGCAAGCAAAAACTCTGCACACGCTCTGCAAGCATGGCAATCCAACCGCACATTGGGAACATCTCCCATGAATTTAACATACATGTACAGGTGTGGCTGGATGCTATGTGCGCAGAGTTTTAGCCTGCAGGAGATCTGGGCTCTTTTCAATCACCATGGTCAACCATCAACAGTGTACTCAAGTGTGATGTTGATGATGATGATGATACCAGAGGGCTTTTTGTGCATATTCAGTTGAAAGTCGCCTCTAGGAGAGTGATGTATTTCAAAGAAGATCTGGGAGCCAGTGGTGGAGAGGATAGAGAGGAAGCTGGCTTTGTGGAAAACAATATAGCTCTCAAAAGGAGGGAAATTGACTCTGATTAAAAAGTGTGTTGTCATTGCTACCAACATACCTGCTTTTTTTATTCTCAATTCCAGATGGAACAGCTAGAACAATTGAGAAGAGGATGAGAGGCTTCTTGTGGAAGGGATGGAAGGACGAGCCCAAAATTCACCTAGTTAAGTGGAGTAAGGTTTGCAGTCCAAGGAAAGATGGCGGTCTAGGAGTGAGAAAGCTAAGAAAGTTTAATCTCGCTTGTTTGGACAAGTGGTTTTGGTGGTGGAATGAGCAGACTAACAGCTTGTGGAGAAAAGTTATTTTGGCAAAATATGGCTCTAGAAATTTCAGCTGGGATCTGGGTGAAACCAGCATCTCCTATGGGTGGGTGTCCAGTTTGGAAAGGCATTCAGAAATCAGCACCAGATTTTAAAAAGGGAATTAAGTTTGAAGTTGGAGATGGCTCAAGGGTGAAAATTCTGGAGGGACTTGTGGTGTGGTGACCAACCTTTGATGGAGAAATTTCCAGCATTGTTTGAGATATAGCTCAAAATAAAGATTGTTTGGTTGAAGAGGTTTTCTCTCATGACAGAACTGCAGGCGACTGGTGTCCCACTTTTAGAAGAAATCTGAATGACTGGGAAATAGCTCAATGGATGAAAATGATGCAAGCAGTCAGTTCCATCAGACCAGACTTCTCTAGGCCAGATAGAAGAATTTGGTTGGGGGAAAGCTCAGGAGCCTTTTCTGTTAGTCCCTTTTATAATAACCTAAGAAGTGAGGGAGAGGAGAGATTCCCGGAGCAGAGATTTGGAAAACAGTCGTGCCACTCAAGGCAGCCCTTTTGTTATGGACAGTCACTCTTGGAAAATGTCTAACAGCAGATTTGCTTGCAAGGAGAATGATGGTGGAGCCAAGTATATGTAGTATGTGGAGGGTGGCCTCAGAGGATGCAGAGCATTTATTCATCAACTGCAAGCTAGCAAGAATGGTTTGGGTGAAAGCTTTGGGGCTGTTTGAAGTTAGTTTCTGTTTCCCAAAGGATTTGAAATCTCTCTTGTGGTGCTGGCAGTTGAATGGTTTGTCTAAGAAAGGGAAAGTCTTTGGGAAGTAATTCCAGTTATGGAATATGGACAGAGAGAAATGGGAGAATTTTTTAAAATAAACACAAAACAGTAATTTTGTCTTTACGGAATATGAACAGAGAGAAATGGGTGAATTTTTTAAAATAAACACAATACAGTAGATACAATATTAAAAGGCTTATAGGGCAGAATTTACTCATGGGAAGCAATTCACAGACAGCTAAAAGATAAACTTTTCACTTCTTTTTGAACAGGGCCTGTGCAATTTCTTTTTGAACAGGGCCTTGTATATTTTGTTCAATTTCCTATAATACATTACCTTTACTCAAAAAAGAAGAAGAAAAGAAATCTTAGAATCTTCTCGGAAGAAGAGAGAGGGGCTGAAGAATTGAGGGCTGTGATCCATATCAGGGCTGTACAGTGGCTGAAATCTTTAGAGCTATTCACAGACTACACAGTGGATGACATGTTGAGGAAGTGGGGTGAGATTGCAAGCTACATGAAGTCCAAATCAGTTGTGAAGGTGTCTTGGACACCCCCACCGGCTGGATTCCTAAAATTGAACTTTGATGGGAGCTGTAGGGGGAATCCTGGATAATCAGGGATTGGGGATGTTTTTAGGGATGAGAACGGGGTCATTTCAGCCATGTTCTCAGGTCCAATTGAAGTGGGGGATTCTCTTAGAGCTGAGATCTTGGCAGTTATGGAAGGAGTTCAGAAAGCTAAGGAGATGGATGTCAGAAAACTCATAATTGAAGGGGACTCGGAGGTGGTGATAGGGTGGCTGAGGAAAAACAACTGTGGATTATGGAAATACAGCAATGATAGGAGAAAATTCAAGTGGCTGGTGCGGGAAATGGAAATCAGGATGAGTTGGGTTAAAAGAACAGCTAACTCTATAGCTGATGGGCTAGCTAAATAGGGGATAGAAAGGGATGTAATGTTTTGGGCTAAGTTGTAACTAAATTGCTTCTTCTTTTCCTTTTCTTTCTTTGAGGACTTAAGTTGTTTTTGGAAGATAAGAGTGTTTGTCTTCCTTGCTGTAACTATTCTTGTGATATTTTAATAAAATTGCTGAAGTTGTTATTGATCAAAAAAAAAGAAGAAGAAGAAGTTGAAAGCCACCAAAAAATCCAACATTTTTTGCAAAACATCTTTAATAGTCAATAACTTAGCTATGTTCTGAGGAAATTATGAGAAAGCAAAAGCTAAACTGTGTGTATGTCAATATAATGATTGGTTACATTTCTATTATGGGAAATATTCACTTGTGACTTGCAAGGGTTCAACTAATAGGACACTCAACTTAATTTAATCATGATGTAATCTTAGTTATGTGTCACAAGGGAACTTTTGTCTTTTCTTTTATTTTTATTTCTTATGTTGTCGCCCTAACATATAAATACAAAGTCTGGCACCGCCAGCTACACCTTTTGATCTCAGTCTTTTCTTCTTCTTCTTCTTCTTCTTCTTCTTCTTCACTCTTGATCGAAATCATGGTATCAGAGCAGGACAGCACTCTGTAAAAGGTGTTTTTTCTGATCGGTCTTACCAATCACATACCTGGACTGAGAATGGGAAAACTAGTTTGACCTAAGGTTCAAAATATTGATACGCCCGATACGCCGGTATGGGCGAATCGATACTCCTTTTGGTGGTTTTTTTTATTTTTTATTTTTTTGCCAACTGGTTCAGGGGAGCCGGTTTAGGTCCTCACCACACCCTGAACCGGTCAGACCACCGGTACACCCACTGTAGGGGCGTATCGGTGGGGTGCCGGAACGATACGCGTCGATACTTTGAACCTTGGTTTGACCTTGCACTGAGAACTGTTGCTGGACCCTATTCTACTATTTTTAAACAGAAACTGAAAAGAAAATCACTCAGAGATTGAAGGATGACTGACTGAGCTTTTCTAGAGGTCAGTGACTGTTTTTTCTTCTTCTCTCCCATTCTTCTCTGGACTGTAACTTCCAAAAATCAGTCGAACTGATCAGGAACCTAGACTGAAGTGATTTTTTATCATTGGCTCTTGGTATTGTTACCAAGAACATACTAAAATCTGCCCTAGCTGAATGGTGTAGGCATGTTTAATGACTTCTGTGAGTCGGTGATCCAAAACTGTGTGGGTGAAGAACCTGTGTAAGTCATGTGTGACCTGGTTCAGATGGAGAAATACATCAGCAGAATTGTAGATATTATGTGTGGCTTAAACTAGCCCTTGTGAGGTCAGTTAGACCTGTAAACCTGTGACAGAAGGTGCTGTGTTACTGTGACTGCAATTTGACTTTAAATCTTACAGTGGGGGTTGTGTGTTTGTGAGTGTGTGGACTGCGGGAGAAGGCTTGTAGGTCTGAAACTTCTGCCAGCAGCCTTTGTTATGGCCTCTGAAGACTCTGCAACTTCTGGAACTTTTAATCAAGGAGGAATGAACAACAGTCCTGATTCTATGATCTTCCAACAACCATTACTCCCTTAGATGGCAAAAATTATTTGACATGGTCTAAGGAGATGCGGCCGTACATCACAGACCGGGGTAAGGCAGGGTATATCAATGGAAAAGTGAAGGAACCTAGGACTGGTACTACTGAATATGATAAGTGGGACCAGGAAAACTGCATGATTATGTCATGGCTTTTGACTACTATGCTACCATCGGTTAAGCAGAATTTTATGTGGATTGAGACAGCCAAGGAAATATGGAACAAGCAAGGTCAACTTACTCCGAGCAGAGAC